TCAAGAGGCTATTTCTAGCCAGGAGAAAGATAAATGGATGGCAGGTATGATTGAGGAGATGGAGTCTTTACATCATAATCATACTTGGGAGTTAGCTCAACTTCCTCAAGGAAAGAAGGCTATAGGGTGCAAGTGGGTCTATAGAAAGAAGCCACCAGTATCAGAAAAAGAAGGGGAAAGGTTTAAGGCTAGGTTAGTTGCGAAGGGGTTTTCTCAACAGAAGGGGATAGATTATGATGAGGTTTTCTCTCCTGTTGTTAGACATGCTTCTATCAGATTAGTACTTGCTTTGGTAGCCATTTGGGATTTGCATTTGGAACAAATGGATGTGAAAACTGTTTTTTTACATGGTGATCTAGATGAGCAAATTTACATGAAGCAACCTGAAGGGTTTGTTAAACCCGGGGGTGAGCATCTGGTTTGTCGACTCAAGAGGTCTTTGTATGGGCTGAAACAGGCTCCACGGCAGTGGTACAAGCGGTTCGATGCTTACATGATTCAAATTGGCTATACACGTTGTGAGTATGATTGTTGTGTCTATGTTAAAAGCCTTGGTGATGGTTCTTTTATTTTTCTGTTACTGTATGTGGATGCTATGTTGATCGCTGCTAAGAGTATGAATGATATTACTGCATTGAAAGTTTTGTTGGGTCAGGAATTTGATACGAAAGACTTAGGAGTTGCACAGAAAATTCTTGGCATGGAAATTCACAGGGATAGAGGTGTAAGAAAGTTGTGGCTAACTCAACAAAGTTATATAGAGAAAATTCTTGACAGGTTTGGGATGAGTAAGTCTAAACCGGTTAGTACCCCTTTGGCTAATCATTTTAAACTCTCATCCAGTCAGTGTCCCCAAACAGTTAGTGAGATTGAAAATATGGCAAAGGTTCCTTATGCTAGTGCAGTTGGTTATTTAATGTATGCAATGGTTTGTACTCGACCTGATTTGGCTCATGCTGTTAGCCAAGTTAGTAAGTACATGTCTAAACCTGGGAAGCAGCATTGGGAAGCAGTTAAATGGATTCTCCGGTACTTAAGGGGCACTATGGAGCATGGTATTGTATTTGGGAGTCAACAGAATGAGCATGTACTCATGGGATATGTGGATTCTGATTATGCTGGTGACATGGATAATAGACGTTCTACAACAGGGTATGTTTTTACTCTTGGGGGTGGTCCTATTTGCTGGAGATCATCAGTTCAGTCTATTGTAGCTTTGTCTACAACTGAAGCGGAATACATGGCTGTGACTGAGGCAGCTAAAGAGGCTTTGTGGCTTTCAGGTTTGGTTAAGGAGTTGGGTATTGAGCAAGATGGAGTTCAATTACACTGTGACAGTCAAAGTGCCATTTTCTTAGCTAAAAATCAAGTATACCATGCCAGAACCAAACATATTGATGTAAGGTTTCATAAGGTCAGAGAGTTGGTTGTTTCTGGTGAGATTTTGTTGCAGAAAATTCGTACAAGTGAGAATGCAGCAGACATGTTGACAAAGGCAGTTACTAGTGACAAGTTCAAACATTGTTTGGACTTGTTGGGTGTTTCCAGATGTTAAATGAACATGGTGGTCCTAATCCAGGGAGACTATGAGATGAGTTTTTTCTCCTAAAGGGCTTATTTGCGAAGGTGGAGATGGTTAGATAAGTATTTTCTCCTAAAGGGCTTATTCGCCAAGGTGGAGATTTGTTGAGTTATCTTTTCTCCTAGAGAGCATATTCGCCAAGGTGGAGATTTGTTGTGTTTGTCTCATATAAGGATCAGGAATATGAGTTTGTCTCATATAAGGAATAGGAGTGAAAGGGAGATTATATGCCTATAAATATAATCAATGTATCTCATTACCTGGATCACCATCACAAATAATAAGAGAATACTTTCACTCCCGTGGATGTAGGCACATTGCCGAACCACGTAAATCTTGTCTTCTTTATCCTTTACTGTCATTATTATTTTTCTTGTTCTTATTAATCTCAACATGTATGTACTATTTCAACTCAATTTAAAAAGTAATATCACTGTAAATCACTTAAAACAATTATTTTTCAACAATTATTCTTTTCTACATATCAATATATAAATTAATTTCAAATATTATAAAATAATAAAAATAAAGCTTCAAATTATGTAAAATTATTTTACGAAATTCCAAAATAAAATAATTTATAGAAAAAAAATAAATTAAAATATTATTTATTTAGTAGTTAATAGAGTATGTTTATTTGTATATTTAAGAAAAATTGAGTTAAAAAAAAAATGAAAAAGTAATGTAAACCCGTTTTATCACTACTGAAAATTCTGAAATTTCCGACCACCTGAAAGTGATCTAAAATCAAGTCGAAAGTCTTGTTCCTACCACTTTTGGTATCCGGAAAAATCCTTGTTGCTATTTCCGACCACTTTTTGCTTTCAACTTGATTTAAGATCACTTTCAGGTGGTTGGAAATTCAATAATTTTCAGTAGTGTATCTATTATTTTAAATTAATTAGTAAATGATGTTATAGGCACAACGTAGTCTAGTCCGGCCAACTTCTTGTCTGCCAGCTGCATAAATTAAAATTCCAACTAAAATTACTAAAACTTTGCCAAAATTTCAAATTGTGATTGTTAAAAAGAAAAGCTTGCACGAACAAGTGGGTTTCCTGGAAATTATTAAAAGCTAAAGCTAGCACAAATTTCTGAAAGTTTGGTTAGTCAAAAATACGTACAGTAATTCTGCATGCACCCAATAACGCGTTGTTTGTATATATTGTCCGTCTTTATTATATATACTGCCCAATGTTTTTTTTTTAAATAAGTACTTTAAAGTATATTAAGGCAAGATTATATTGAAATTGTTCATGCATAGATAATTGAAGGTTGAATTTGTGTATTTAAATATGTAATTCTTCTCCCAAAGGTTGAGTCCCCTACCCCAAGGGCCCCCCACACTATGACCCGACAGAGCATTGTAGGAAGTTGTAAATCACGGTGACTCAATGGTTCAGCAGACAGGACCAAATGCCGGTGCGAACAAGGAATCTGCCCACTTTGGACATAATTCCCGCACTGCCGCCGCCGAGGTTCAAACCTTGGTCTCTTCTCCCAAATACTGCCCACTAAACCATTGAGCTAAGCCCGTGCGGGTTAAGTAGGTAATTCTAAGTTTACAAATGCAAGATAATATAGTCAAGATTGATTATAATTGTCAATAAAATAATTGTATAGGTATGGTTGAAACCAAATACGGGACATAAGGGAGAACAAATAAAAATTAGGGCATAAAATATTAAATATATACTAATATTGTTTGAGGAGATTTCGACATTAGAATTTGTGGTTAAGTTCTATGAAGACTTTAATATTAGAATTAGATTAATGGTGTAATTATAATTCTATATTAGACGTTAATATTATTCTTCCAAAAGGCTGAACCCCAACCCTAAGGGCCCCCCACACCCCGGTCCGACAGAGCATTTGGGATGAAGATGTTAATATTATAATTAGACTAACGGTGAATTAACGCTATTTAACGGAAAAGTTAAATGGATAATCATATATTAAGGATAAATTAGAAAAATTTTTAAAAAAATTAAAACCTGAACAATTTGAACCATTCATTTGATTTAATAATTTGGTGGTCATTTTTCTACCCAATGTTAATAATTAAATAAATTCGTTGGTCAAATCCGCTAATATAATTCGCGCGCTAACTGTTGATTGTCAAACAAGGACATTGCAAGGTAGTTCTCACTTCAATTTGTTGTGTGATTTGAATACTCTCTGTCACAAAATCTCTCAAGTAGTTAATATGGTTGGCTTTATTTTTTTTTTATTTTTTTTTTTGGCATTATATGGTTGGCTTTATTAATTATATATTTTTTTAATTTTTTCATGGTATTAATAAAATACTTGGTAAATAAATATATAACATTATTTTGTATTATAACTTTGATATTTAATTAGAAAAATAGTGCACAAAAAAGATAATAGACAATGTAGTGAATATAATCAATTGATGAATTTGAATGTAAAAATTTTTACATTTGAGAAAAATAAGACAATATAACTAATGAAAATATTTCCCTTAATTAATTTATTGATAATGAATAATTTTTTTTCACTATATTAAGACATTGTGAGGACAATGTAGCGAATATAATCAATTAATAAATTTGAATATAAAGAATTTTTATATTGTAGAAAAATAAAGACAATATAACTAATGCAATTATTTCTCTTATTTAATTTATTGATAATGAATAATTTTTTTTTGAATAAAGGCATTGTGAACACATAATTCTAAATTAAAGAAATGCATATCTATAATTTTTTGTTGTAGCTACTAAATTATTATTTATATAATTTAATAAGAGTAAAATAGAGTACTAATTATGCCAACTTTGATTGGGATGAGGTTCAAACCTAAGACCTTTTTTTTTTTTTTTTTTTTTTTTTTTTTTTTTTTTTTTTTATTGAAATCAATGAGTAAGTTAACGGTGAACTAACGGCAATTCTTAAAATTGTACTAATTATGCCAACTTTGATTGAGATGAGGTTCGAACCTAAGACCTTTTTTTTTTTTTTATTGAAATCAATGAGTAAGTTAACGGTGAACTAACGGCAATTCTTAAAATTGTACTAATTATGCCAACTTTGATTGAGATGAGGTTCGAACCTAAGACCTTTTTTTTTTTTTTCATTGAAATCAATGAGTAAGTTAACGGTGAACTAACGGCAATTCTTAAAATTTTAACAGAATTAGTAACGGTGTGTGGGTATTTTAGGAAATTTTAGTGTAAAATTTAAATCTTATCAATCTTTTAATCAATCTGAGCCATTCATTTGATTAAAATCTGTGACCGCCATTTTTTCTACCCATTATAGGCCTAACTCTCTTGGGCTCTTATTAGTATAAAATAGTAGATAGTAGATATTCCAGCTTACATGGCTATAGAAAGACAGAAAAGTTGTATGTAAGTTTAGTTGAATCAAAATGAATAATCCTCCTCCTCCTATAAACATGTCGTTCACGTACAGTAACCCAAACTGTACACTTTATGTTAGAAGAATGATGGAGAAGAACGTTTCTCCGATGCCATTTATTGGCCTTTATGTAGCCGTTGCTTCTATGTTCTGCATCATGGCAATGTCTCTAAACATCTTGTCATTTCCTGACAATATCTTCGGTCTGAATGCAACTTGGCTGACACTATTAGCTGTGGCTACCAAGCTCACTGGCGACCTTACTTCTCCCATGTGGTCTTACAATGATAACCTGTCAAAAATCAATAGCACGCTTTTCTTAACTGTGGCTATAGGTGAATTTTTCACTTCACTGGGCTCTATGAATGGCACAGATATGCTCACCAATCTCACGGCTTTGAGCATATTGGTATTCACCGTCCTTGTGGATTTATGCATCCAACTCGGAACTGGCGTACTTGATTATTCATTATTTCCAGAAATCATCTTCGCTCTTGTTTTGCTGTTCTGCATGTTCATAGCAATTGTGTGTACAGCTCTAACAGTTCCAGCAATTAAGAAACGCGCAGAATCAAAGCATCAGACGCTAGTGAAACAAATGGAAACAGCAGCTGGGGGGCATTTACTTAGAGTTGAAGAGCTGAGATTGAGCATTATAAAGTATTGGGTGATGGCAACATCTGGTAGCCCTCAATATCTGATCACAAGGTTGGCGTCTTTCATTTTTTCGAACATCATCTCCCTATTTTCTGCACTTATTATTTTTCAAGGAGTTTTTAGAAGTAAAACTACTAGTACCGATGCATACTGGAGTACTACTTGTCATAATAAGCAATCTGATTATAAGTGGTCCGTCCAATTGATTATATTTTTTCAATTTGGTGTCGCGATGGTGTCTTTCGTATCATCTACAGTCTTATTGACTCATGTCCTGATTTGTAAGTATGAGGACAATGGGATCAAAATCTCCAGAAAAGATTTCAAAGTTGAGCCCTATTGGACTGAAAATCTAATAGAATGGAGACAGAGTCCAATACCTATGAGAATTCAAAGAAACAAGCTGCGCATAAAACTTCTCCACCATATAAAAAGATTGATCTTGACTTTCTTCATAAAACTTCAGACTCTGGTTGTCATATTTATTAAGTTTAGTTGTATGGTTACTTTTTATGGATGGTTTCCATTAGTATATTTTGGTAATCATTTATGCAAACAATGGTTAAGTGAGTTAAGTCCACTTGAAGTTTCAAATGACCAAATGAGAGAAGAGATAGACCCCCGCCATTTTGTGATACTTCTTGAAGGAGAAAAACAATTGCCAAAATTATTGTTGAGGAGAATTATTTTACAGCTGAATGTTCATGTTAAGGGGGGAATGCGTCAACAACCACGTAGTCTACTCAATCTTCTCAAACAAAGTTTCTTTTATAAAGGTGCAATACAATTTGATAGCAGCCAAGTTCCAAATCTATTATCAGAAGAACCTCCTAACTGTTGGACACTTCCAGTGATGACACTCACAACCATTGCTGTTGCACTTCCAAACATTGCAAATCAACATGTTGATGAGCTGGTAACAAGTGTTGATGAAGGCCTCCAATATGCAAGCTATATAGATGTGCTGGACGAGAAGCATGTGTCAAAATGCATTAAAAATGCAGCAGGCATTGTGTGGGTGGGAGTTAAGCTTCATAAGAAGTGGCTGGACGTAGATCTTGGGGATACAATTAGGGAAGTTCGTTCTATCAGGGAGATTATTCAAGGTCTTGCTGATGAAGCTGAAAGGATTGTCAAAGAGTTCAGTTCCACGGGAAGTCAAAATCTTGTGGAAAATTCTCTGTACTGGCCTGCAAATGTTTTAGCTGCTAATTCAATGTACAGAATCAGCCGGACAATTCTTTTATGCTATGGGAATGGTGAGTACCAAGCTGAAGAGTTGTTTACGAAATTAATTTGCATGATTGCAAATATATTGGCAGCTTGTCTTACTAATTTGCCGCACCTGATAACTACCAAGTGCATAAACAATGCTATTGAGGAAAGGCTCAAAAGTATTAGTAATGCAGCTTTCCTTTTTGGAGAAATTGAAGATATTCTGAAGTTATTTGAAGAGCGGCAACTTTTAGGCATTGGTCCAGATCAGCCATTATGCATTGATGAATGGCGTAGATGGATGGAGAGTGAAACACAAGATCCAACAGTTTCAACCTCTGCAACTGACAATGGAGCATCCTCTACTGTTGAGTCCAATGATGAGCTTGTGATTGTTGCAATGTAATTACTGCCGATGCAATGTGTGTTTCTAATTATTTTTGTAGTAGTTGTTTTATGTTAATTTAGTACTGTTATGAAATATGTATGTTGCAATCTTGCTATATTCTCTGTGAGTCTGTCTGTTACTTTCAACATACTATAATTCTGCAAAACACAATTCTATTTCTTTAATTATTCATTGCAAATTTGTTAAAATCTTATTATGATTACAGGATAATATGCCAACATATACCATTCTATTTTTTCAAAAGTTTGACGGAATCCATGCATCCGCAACAGAAGCCATTCTAAATAAATAATACTATAGTTAAATTGCAATTTTTACCAATTTATTATGAATTCTGGTTGAATTTTTTTTTTCTTCCACCAATTATGAAAACGTTATGCTGTGGAATCGTGCCCATCTTGCAAGGTGGGCACGGTTCCATATCCATATCCATAATTTCTATACTGTAGATCCATAATTTCTATACTGTAGATTCATAAAATTTATACTTTAGATTCATAATTTTTAAACTGTAGATTCATAATTTAAATACAATAGATTCATAATTTTTATACAGTAAATTCATAATTTCTATACTGCAGATTCATAATATCTGTATTGTAGATTCAAAATTTATAACCTGTATAATTATCAAATTATGAACATATAGTTCTGTGATTTCTGAAAACATAGTTCAATTGGGAATATGAACATCGAAAATTATGAATATATAGCTCTATAATTATGAATCTACAGTATAGAAATTATGAATCTACATTATAGAAATTATGAATATGGAACCGTGCCCACCTTGCAAGGTGGACACGTTTCCGCAGCATAATTTGCCAATTATATATATGGCTTAATTGCACTATATTGGGGTAATTTATATAGCCTAATAAATAAAGCCCAAATGCTTAAATGCTACAAATTATACCATGGACTAGGGTCCACCATGCATTATTAACCTTAGTCTAAAATAACTTTCATATGATGTGTTTGTAATTAATTATGTCTTTGTAAATAAATTGAAGGCACCTAACTAAGCTAGTTAACTATATGCGCATAATATGTTAACTATCGACACATAATATCGCAAGTTGACATATTATGTGCCTTGCAAGGTGGACCAATTCATGGTATAACAATCGCTTAAACACTGAAAACTAGAGTAACTTTTATTTGTTAGGCATAGGCAATGCGTCTTCACCCTTCATGCTCGGAGCTATGCCGCTGTTGCGCTCTAAACTAACCACTGCACGTTACTATTTTGGTTAGAATTGTTAAAACAGGTCCAACAATTCAAAAAAAAAAATGAATAAGGGTCAAATAGGTTATTCAACTGCACACAAAACTGCAATTAGGTCATCGAACTTATAAATTTAAAAAAAAAAAAAGGAAAAAAAGGAGCAATTGTGATAGTACTAATTCCTGGTTGTCGGTTGTCTGTATGTGTGTATGTGAATGTATAAATAGAGAAGAGGAAGTATAGAGTAAATAGGCCTCTTTTAATAATTCATCATTGTTCTTCATGTTCTTGTGTAGAGAGAAGGTGGAGAAATGTGTGTAGAGAGAATAAGCCGAGAGAGTGAATGGAGTCCTCCCTATCTTAGAGGTCCAAAAAGCCTTTTTATAGGCCTAAGGTGGTGGGTTTGACCCGCCTCGGGGTTGACCCGTCACCCTTGACTTTGACCTGTAGATCGGGTCCCGAACCGCTTGACCCTAACCTGACTATAAACGAGCCCAAAGACATACAGGTGGTCGGTACCGGGGTATATATCCTATCAAGAACCCCCTAGTCCGTACCCTGACGATGAGTTAACGAGGAAGGGTTCGGGTTGGAAAAACTAGTTATACGGTCTGTGACATGCGCCAGTTGCCTCGTTAAAAACCTTAAGCTGATAAAAAACCGAGTGGGAAAAAATTTAGCCCAGAAAAAAAGAGCACAACTTTAAGCGCTGTCTGGTGGACCAAAAGGGAGCGCCCGACCTAGTGGTTAGACTTGCAACGCAATTTCCAAGATCATACTTTGCTGGTTTTAACGGCCGGACTGCTGAACATGACCGGGAGGTCGATTTGATTGCGATCTGGAGATCTTATTTTACCAATTACGAGATTGGATTTACGTACGAACACTGGATCGAACTCTTGCGTGGCAAGGGAGTCAAACTGTGTCGATCTAGGGGTCGACTCGCACCAATTGGGAGATTGGGCTTTTAATGCGGCCTAGCGATCAAGTATTACCAATTCGAGAGATTGGATTTTACTTATGGTCTGGGACCTCAACTGATCGTGTACATCATAAGCTGGAACGATTTTCCCGATGTCCCTCACTCGGGCTAACTGGTTGCGACTGGTTTGAGCTCGGTCGAATTCTAATTTAGATAAAAAGATCGCTCTTAGTTGTTTGCGATTGGCTAGCTTCTGGTTACTATATTTAGTCACTACGATAGGTTTTTGTAAACCAAAAAATTTATACTAACTGGGATGCATTATGGGTTATGAACCGAGGGTCCCAAGCGAAGGGACACTACGAGACCCGAAGGTTTAATCGATAGCGAAATGCACTTTTGAAAACAACAATCGGCTAAATGGGGGAGTGTGCTCCCTTTTAAACTCAGTTTACGGACTGAGAGCCCCCAAGCGAAGGGGTCGCTAAGAGACTTGAGGGTCTAACGATCATGAGACTAGGAAAGTTTTTTTGATCGAGAAATGATGACGAGACCGAGAAAGTTGGTTTATTTGGGAAAAAATTTAGCGAATCGAAAAAGAAACGAACGAGCTACTCTACCGATGCAGCCCCTCACTCCCTTAGATGCGAGAATCATCAGCATAAGGGAGTAGATATGATGGGTTCTCGAGTATGCCTTGTTAACTTTGATGGCGATCGAGAAATGACCCAACCTGGTTCGCGGTGCGAACGCACCGAGCTATACTTGTAGCGTCGATGACCAGGAAGTGACTCGACCGAGCTCACAGTGTCGGTGTACCACCGGTCGACTTGCCTAATTTGTAGGACTTTGGAGTCGAGACGTGATCTCGGGCTAGCTGGACCGGTGGTGGCAATACCGACCTAACAGGATTTAGAAACATGACTAGAACCAAAACTAAAGGGTTGGTGACCGGAAAAAGTTTAACGACATTGCGGTCATCGGACTGTCGTCCTCATCGGCTTTACCGGACAAGTTTAAGCGACATTGTGGTCGTCGGGCTGTCACCCTCATCGGTGGTGACTGGAAAAAACTGAAAAATTTTATCGACATTGTGGTCGTCGGGCTGTCGCCCTCATCTGCTTTACTGGACAAGTTTAAGCGACATTGTGGTCGTTGGGTTGTCGCCCTCATCGGTGGTGACTGGAAAAACTGAAAACGTTTAACGACATTGCGGTCGTTGGGCTATCGCCCTCATCGGCTTTACCGAACAAGTTTAAGCGACATTGTGGTCATCGGGCTGTCGCCCTCATCGGTGGTGATCGAAAAAACTGAAAAAGTTTAACGACATTGCGGTCGTAAGCCGGAGGTGGCGTGACCGACCTGGCCGAGCTTAGGGTGCCGGTGGTGGAAATACCAACCTAACCGGACTTAAAGTGCCGGTGGTGGAAATACCAACCTAATCGGGCTTATTACAAGTAACTCTATTACAATTTTTCTAAGTACAAAGTTATGGTCTATACAAATCATAATCTAATACAATTTTCTAAGGATGGGCCTATAACTTGTACGAAATACAATTTAGCCTATGTACTTTACAATTTGAAATTACAATGCAAATTTACAAATTTAAAATTCAACCAACAATCTTAGCTTTGTACATAGCGTGACATGCCAGAGAGTTTTGTTAACACATGGCAGCTGCATGGATCGGATCACAAAACAAGTGATCAATTCTGACCCTGGCTCCGGAATTTGTCCCGTTTTCACGACCGGTGTTGATCGGTAAATAGCGCGGATCACAAAATCAATCAATCTGGGAGAATATTACCAAACCGCTAGTTTATCTTTTGTACTCGATCATCAGTTAGTGCCCCAATTTTTAATTTGGTTGTGCGATTCGCCGTTCGGGATCGAAGAAGTCAAGACCCTTCGACTGATATAACTGGTGTAGCACGGCTTGCCGACCCCACACCCTCCGAAAAACCTAAAAATGACTCGATCAGGTCATTTTTGTGCCAGTGGTGGCCGCTCGGGAGCTTGCTCAAGGCACCTACGATCGCTCGACCATGGCATACGAGGAGTCAATGATCAGAGTCACTGGAATGCTATAACAACAACTGCATGTGGAGCGCTCGATCAGAAAGGTCCGGCAGTCGGGACGACCGATGATGCTCGAGTAACCCGACAAGACCTAAAGCCAGTGTAACCGACCGGTACTGCAGCCGGAGGAGTTCGGGGAGTTGCTGAGTTTGATGGTGCCTCGTAATGGAGTACAGCGGTGATTAGGTAGTATGAAGCAGCCCCGCGACTATTTTAACCTTTGATCGCGGGTGATCAGGATCACCGGTGTTGCTGATTTTGGAGAAGTGCATAAGTGATTACCCATTCTAATGATCTGCTCTGGCTCGGGAAAAAGACCAAGAGCTCTGCAAATAGTGAGATGGCACTGACGATCATCGCTCTGCTTAGAACTCGTCGGGGAGTTTATTCATCTCATATGTAGGATTAGAAGCAATACATGCTCAGGGAATTCTGACATAACTTAGTTAATGCCCCAACCACCGGAACACTACTCTTGCATAAGACTGATGATTTTGACTATGAAGGCAAAGACGCGACATGACCTCGGTCATTAGCTTGAGCCTTGAAGGGGACCAGAGACGTGCTCGACCATTGGAGACACACAGGGATACTGATCATCGGTCTGGAGGAGACCAGGAAAACAACCGGAAGATGTTGATGTGTACTAGACCACTCGGATCATGGTACGAAGTCGGAAATGCGATTGGTTGGTTTGTACCCCGACGATACACCCTTACACACCGACGATAAAAGGCGAGGTCCGGAGACGACTGCTGGAGCTTGGTGATCACCGACCGTCACTGGGTTGCATCGAAATCCCTGTACTAATCTGATTGGACTGACCACTAGACCGGTTAACTGTGATCATACCGCTGGGGAAGGTCGGTCACTTAAATAACATGCAAATACATGGGGGATGAGATATCCAGGCGAACACTGCGCTTCTTCTAAATGACAGAGATTTTCTCGGAGAAAAGCTTCTCGTTCCAGGAATCTGCTTGGAATACTTAGCACGCGTCGAGGGGTCCGCGACCGGATTGCCGTCGACAGTTGGAACCAAGCTTAATTTACTTACACAGACACGGTGTTATTATAGCTATCCTAAATATGGAGTTATATCTAAATAACTAACACCTACCATTTTAAACATATTCATAATTTACAACCCCAGACTCGAGCGATATGCTCGTAGCTCTATTCAATGACTAGGCTAACTCTTTATATGTGTAAAAATTTCTACAATGAGAGGAGGACACGTCGGGCTGGCAGCGGCGCTCCTCATTGTAGCCACGGCGAACGAAGGAAGAGAGCCCGAAGGCTCAGAGTTGGTTGATCTGGGAAGATGAAGGTTTCCGATCACATGCTAAAGTTTCTCGGTCAAGAAGATCAACCTCAACACATATTATTACTATTTTACATTGCAATTTGTTGAGCTCAGCAACACTCAGTCACTTGGGTCGATCAATGGTGACATCTCAGGTTTATATGTAGGTTGGTATTTCCACACATCCGACCCGCAAATGGAACAAACGGTTGCTCGGAACTTTGTGCGCGGGGAAGTTAGACCACGACTGTAACACCACACTTTTCTTAAACTTAATTTCAGTTCTAAAACCAATTTAAGATAAACTAAGCAGCGGAAATCAAACTTAATTAACAAACTAGTGGGAATGTCACCGCAACAACCACATTTCCATGGTGATTGCACAGGCTAAGGATAGAACTAAATTATTGAGTCAAACTAACATTCGAAATTACGAAATTTAGGTAACTTGGGAAAAGTACCCCGGCATCTATCACCAATCATAAAAACAAAAGCCTACAACCATAATCCATAACATCATAAAATAAAATAAGAGTTTAGACTAATAGATCAACTACACTAGTCTAACTCAAACAACACTCAAACGCTGGGCCCACCTGAAAGGGGTTTTGCAAAACAACAAGTAGACAAGTAGAAAAACACCCGTTAGCACGAAGCTAAGTATAACCACACTCCACCCTGTAAAATACTACTACAGTATATACTTTGGAAAAACATTTGTTCACATTCTCAAATTAAGCAATTCAATCACTTGAACAAACTTTAAGATAAACCACAAGCTTTTCTATATGCTCGCAACCTATAATATCAACAGACATGCTTCATCAATAAACAACTTAACAACATAATCGTACATTCGTACTAACTCATAATCAACATAGCAAAACTCAACTCTATAGAACAACTCCATAACAATCTCATGCAATCAAGTCCCTAACATGTAAACCAGATATATCAAACGTCAATATGCAACTAAGGCAATCATACTCAATATACAATCTCGGGTAATCATTCTCAATATGTAATCTTGTGCAATAGGATAAGTATACATATACACTCGTATGTAAATAGAATACTTTTCTGTGGAGGTTTCTTATGAAGAAAAAACAGAAACTTTTGAATAGACTTTGGGAATATAATTGTCTCTTTTCAACGTGAGAAGAGAGTTCATTAGCTTATCATATATATAGGAATTTTTACAGAAGAGAATAATACAATAAAGGAAAAATATAACAATCCCATATTTTGTGCTATCATTCCCTTAAATGCTGTGGTTGAATGCAATCCCAGATTGTTTGCTATGCAATCCCATATTCTTTGCTGTCATTTCCTTGAATGATTTATTTCCTTATTATTCTTATCATCCGTATCTCTCCACTCAAGTGATTGATTGTTATTACCCTCCCTCAAACTGTGTCGAGGCTGGAGACATAGTTTGTTGCGAATGCGAAGAAGATTGGCCTTACATAAGGGCTTGGTAAAAATGTCTGCAAGCTGGAGAGTAGAGGAGACATGGCGAGTAATAAGGAGTCCCATTGCGACTCTCTCACGAATAAAATGGTAGTCCAGTTCAATGTGTTTGCTACGGGCGTGAAACACGGGATTAACAGTCATGTGTAATGCACTCAGATTATCACAGAAGAGTATAGGCGGGCGGATTTGAGGAACATGAAGATCACGTAAGAGAAAAGTGAGCCATGTTAATTCAGCTGCTGTGTTAGCCATTGCACGATATTCAGCTTCAGTACTTGAACGCGAGATGGTCGGTTGTTTTTTTGCACACCAAGAAATGATGTTATGTCCCAAAAATGTGCAAAAACCCGTCGTAGAGCGTCTAGTAGTAGGACAGCCTGCCCAATCTGCATCAGAAAAGGCAAAAAGATCAAGTGTAGTGTTTCCAGTTAGATACAAACCTAAAGTAATAGAGCCTTTAACATAGCGTAAGATACAGCGAACCATTTTTATGCTAGCAATAGTTGGTGATTGCATGTATTGAGATACATAGTTAACACTGAAAGAAAGGTCTGGTCTTGTAAGTGTTAAATATTGTAATGCACCGACAATGCTACGATAAAAAGTAGGATCAGAGAAGGAAGTGTTATCATGAAGGCCCTTGGTTTTAGACTCCATAGGTGTATTCATTGGTTTGCAATCTAACATTTGAGCTTTGTCAAGAATAGTGCGAGCATAGTGAGTCTGAGAAAGGTGCAAAGTATTAGCAAACCGTTGAACCTCAATATCAAGAAAATGATGTACAGGTCCAAGATCTTTCATGGCAAATTCAGAATGTAAAGTTTTGATAAAATCATCAAGTAATATCGAATTAGATCCTGTCAACAACATATCATCAACATAAAGGAGTAAGACCAATGTGCCAGATTGAGAGTGCAGAATAAATAAGGATGGATCAGCAAGACTACAAAAGAAACCAGTTTTGAGCAAAAAAGCACTAAAACGATCAAACCAAGCCCTTGGTGCCTGTTTAAGGCCATAGAGAGCTTTTTGAAGTTTACAGACATGAGATGGAAATTTTGGATTATGCATACCTGGTGGTTGCTCCGTATAAATATCCTCAGTTATGTAACCATGAAGGAAAGCATTTTAAACATCAAGTTGATGAATGTCCCATTGGCGAACCATGGCTAAACTAAGAACTAAACGAATAGTACCTGGTTTGATGACTGGAGAAAAGGTTTCAACATAGTCGATACCATCCACTTGGTGATATCCTTTTGCTACTAGTCGGGCTTTGAGCCTATCAAGTGTGCCATCAGCTTTTAATTTAGCTTTAAACACCCATTTTGATC